AAATGTTAATGTCACACATGGGGCAGTTTGGTCATTTAGCTCGAAATGGCAGTTGAATAACTACTACTCGTACACAAGTGACGTACCCCATTGGCTAGCTGAGGAATAAGCTCCTTTAATTACTCTTCCGTCCTAATATAGATTACATATTAGGAATAATTAATTTGGTTTTAAGTTTAATTTTTTTATTTTGAATTAATTTATTTACAAATTTAAAAATTATAAAACAAATTCACGTTGTTTGGAAGTATAATCTATTCAGATATTTGGGGGTACATATTTATCAATATAGTACTCCCTCCATCCCCTGTATTTGTCCACTTTCATTTTTGCACATCATCCAATGCACTTCTTTAATCCATTTTATCTTGTAATTTGTATATTAAAAAATTATAAAAATTATATATTAATAATCTATATGTTAAGACAAATCAAACAAGATCACACATGACTATATTTAGGCTTACACATTGAGAGAATTTGATGAGTCAAAGCGCTTAGATAAACAGTTCCAAAAGTCAAATGTGGACAAATACAGGGGGACGGAGGGAGTATATAGAAATTGTGAAATTTGGTGCACCAAACACTCTAGGCATTCTTGTTGTTAACTTAATTAAATCCACTTTTAGGTTAGAATAAATTAAATAGTCAACACCTCATTTAGTTCAGGTATATTATAAATAAATGCTGGTTTGGCGACATCCTTTTTGTTTATCAAATCTTTCTTTTAAAAAAATTAATTTATTCCATTTGTTCGAACTATTAATTCAACATGCATTTATTTGATTTGATTGGTTAAATTCGAAGATAATTAAAAAAAAAGTAGTAACTCAAAAGGATTTTTTAATTAAAGTCTTTGAACATAATGAAAATGACAAATAATACGGAGTATGTTATCATTTTAATTAGCACTCAATTTTACATATTGTTTGGTAACATTTTTTATGTTTAGCTTAATATTATATCGAAAAAATAACTAAATAGTATAATTTACTATTAACATTTATAAAATTAATTTATAGATTTAAAAAAAATCAAACTGCTAACACTAATTAAAAATATATTATTCCCAAGATTTTCAACTATTTCAATCATTCCAGCTACTAAGTGTAACCTTATACATGAGACTATAAAAAAGAGAAATTTACTTAAATAAGAATAAAACATAATAACTTTCCCAATATAGGACCATATGTTTTTATTTTCCAATGTAGGACCTTTGATCATTATCAAGTAGTCATTATTCAACTAAATATCCATCATTACTGGACATTATTTCTTCTACTAGGTCATTATTAAATCCTATTTAAGGAATAAAAAAGTTTAAGTCCTACATTAGAAAAATTATCATGTTTTAGTCTTATTTAGTGCAAATTTCACTATAAGAAACATGGAGTAATATACTCGTTCAAATTGCAAATGTCTTGAATTGTTAGTCGAATATTATTATGGACTACTTCATATTCTATCACTCTCCTTGTCTCGAGCAGTAGGAAGACATTCTACAAAATTCACAGGAAAATTTAACCATGTTCGAATCCTAATAAAGGTGAAAATATTGATTTATTGAATAGTATTTGTTCAATCTTAACTTTCAAGTATTTTCGAATAATTGATTAATCATTTTAAAGCATAACTAAATTTTAGAAGAATGATTATTCAGTTATTCAAAAATGAGTATTCTGTTAGTCGAAAATAGATATTCACCTACTTGCTCGTAAATGAGTACTCATTGCGAATATACGGGAAACATTATACAACTGGTTGTACGGTATATATTGCGACATACATAGCATTGTATTTGTTCAATATTAATTATAATATAATATTAACCTCTTAAACAAATGGACGGGATTAGAGCACTAGACAAAGATAGACTTGGAGTGGTCACTACGTCAACATGTTTCCACACACATTCATAATATAGAAAGACTAATATATAGAGTTTTGAACGTTAATAAATCCAAAGAAATCATCCTACGTAGCACTCTAAGTTACTCAATATTACGTATATAACACTCTTTAATTTTTTTACACGAATTTAGCTAGTTATAGTGTCAATATCTTCCATGTATACCCTCTACCTTTTATTATATTCTACTATTTTTAATTACTTTTAATTATTTGATTAAACATAGGTTATTCGATCACGTAGCCACTCCTCCTCATACGTGCGGCTCCTCCTCATTCGTGCGTCTCATACATGCGATAATATCATCTCACGTCGTTTACCATAGCTCTGCAATATCCTTCTCCTACGCAGTTTACCAATGTATAATGCCTAAACGAGTTTGTACGTATTAAATTAAGTTCCATATTTAACGTCCATGTTTGGCCAGTGTATTTTGGTGTAATAGATTATTCATGAAACCAGTCATACATGTTTGGACAGTGTGAAATTCATATATGAAAACAATCATACACATTTTTGGTAGTATAAAATTCATACATGAAATTAGTGTGGAATTCATACATAAAAAGAGCTATACATTTTTTTGACAGTGTAGAATTTATACATGAAAACACTGCCACATAAATCAATAGACATTAAACTCCAACATGAAATCAAGGAACGCAATAAGACACTTACACACTGCCGTAAGATATAAAACATATATCCATTATACACTTCCACATTAAATACTCGCATATAAAAAACCATACTTCCCACTACAGAGTTACAAGTGAATAACCACACTGCCCAAAATAGTCATATTTTTTTGGCAGTATGTAATGAATAATTGTTGTTTAATTAAAGGACAAAATTGGAATCACAGGTACGAAACATATAACACTACTATTTAGAGTATTTTAAGGCTCTAAGAGTGTTATTTTGGTTTTTCTCCCATAAATTTAGTTCTAATTTTAAAAAATTTAGCAGAATAAATGTTACAAAAATTTGATACATCAAAATAATTTCTTAAAACAAACTTAATTCTACGAGTAATAAACTAATATTATAACTAAATAAACTTTTACACGATATGTTGTCAAAGAGCCTTAACTCTGGCAGAAACTCAACATGTAAAGGATTGTCTCGGACAAAGGAAGTAGTCCCTCCGCCCCTAAATAATACCGGAGTATATCTTTTCAGTTCAGTTGGGTCACGATATTTAAAGGAATTTATCTTAAATTTAATTTATATAATATTATAGTGTAGAAACAATAGATAAAATCTACCCTTATATATTATTTCAAAAGTTCTACTCTTTCCGTCCACAATTTGATTACAAATTGCGGGTTACGATGACAAATTTTTCTTTTTTTGAAATCATTTTATTTACAAATTTGTATATCAATAAGATATAAACTACATCAAAAGTTCTACATATTTAAACGTTCTACATATTTAAAATTACATATTTAAAAACTACATCAAAAGTTCTACAAAACAAGAGGTGACAAGAATATTTTATTTTATCAAATACTTAATGAAATTATATAAATAAACAAAAGTTATTGAGAGTAGAAAAAAAAATTGTAATCAAAATAGGGACGAGAGTATAAAATAAATACTCATAAGATTTTTATTTATTTACTTTATCAAGTAATGATGTGGGACAAAGTGAGTACTCGTGTAAAATAAGAGAGGAATGACAGATGAGATGGCAATACTGTATACACTACGTAATTGTTGTTAAAAATAGAATGAGAAAGGCCTAACAATATAATGATTGTATTTAATATTAATATTTTGAATTAATGTTTAACAGTATAAATTAATTTTAAAAATACTCTTCCATAAATTACTAAAAAAATAAAAATCTTTAGAAGCTGAAAGCAAGAAGTTTTAGGTTTGCTTTAAAATACTTTTGAAATCTGTTTTAAATTTCAAAAATTACAATCTAAAAGACAGAAATAATTTGACATCTTATTTTATACTCAACTTATATCATAATTAAATACTTCCTCCGTTCTTGAAACATTTTCCCTTATTAACTTTTTGAATATTTAAAGGAGAGATATTTTTGTGTCGACTTTCTAAAAATACACTTGATGTGATAGACAAGAGTAAGATGTGATGTGTAGATTATTAGTAAAAAAGTATGATGTGATAGATAAAAGTAGTTTTTTAATAGATAAAAAACATTTTAAAGGGACAACAAAAAAATGAAAGGGAAAGATCATTATTTAAAGACGGAAAGAGTATATATTTTCATTTTTATGGTCAATGTAAGAAAAGTTTGACCAAGAAAGAATAAACGGAAGATAATTTCGGGACGAAGCATGTAACATATATTCAACATTTATTTATCAATGTCAAAGATTAAAAATATTAATTATGAAAAATTAAGACTAAACACATAACTAGAAATTGAAAAAGTAATTTTATGGGCTTGGGGAGGGTGATAAAATATGAAATTGTGAAATGAGGCGAGGTTGCCCGCATGGGTAGCTCAGTTGGTCAAGAGTGTGAAATCTTGGACCGATGACCAGGGATCGAATCCTGCAAGCGGCAATGTGGGAGCTATCCAAAAATCCCATAAAGGGTGAGGAGACTCCTTGTGCACGGTGGACACGAGTCTAGCGTTCTTGGCCGACTGAGTCACCATGATTTACATCCTCCACCATTCCTGTCGGGCAAGTGGGTGGGGTGGGGGCGCCTGGGTGGGCGATTCCACCTTTTCTACGGGTGAAATGAGGCGAGGTTCAACAACTACACTAGTTATCGTATAGTATTAGTAGTACCTCCCCATCTCCCATTCTTCTCGATCTTTCTCACCACCTCTACCTGGCTGGCGGGGAAACAGAGAGAGAGAAAGAGAGAGAGAGAGACAGAGAGGCGTTGAAATCGTGTTCTTCCTTCCGTTGAGCGGTGTTTGTTTCAACGCCTTTTCCGAATAATGCGTGTGACGACCTAAGCCCCACCTACACCTCCCCTTCTTCTTCTTCTTTTCTCTCTTCAATTCAGTAGGGAAAAGAAAAAAGGGAATCGGAAGATTAACAGTTGAAGGTTAGGTTAGTTAATTGGGACTGAAATTATGCAGCTCATGTCGCTGCTGCGGAGCTCCTCTGATGGGAGCGGTTCTAAACGGGCTAATCATTACAGCCGGAATTTTGACTTGCCGGGAGATTCTGCGCCGGCGGAGCGTAATCCCGAGTGTTTTGGCGGACCGATGCTGCCGATTTTCCTCGACGATTTGAGGAGGAATAATGAGGAGGAGGAGAATCGACCGGAGTCGGTGGAGGTCGTCACGGTCCAGCCTCCGATCGATGACAATTCCGCCGTCCTCTGCAGCGTCAGTCCCCGTAATCAGGCGCACGGCGGCGGCGGCGGAAAAGCTGAGGGCGGGATTCTAGGGAGGACGATTTCGGCTGCGTCGAAGCTTCACAGGAAATTGTCGCGGCTGAGGTCGCCGTCCAGAGCCTCGTCGTCGTCCGACGGCGGCGCGGACGGGGATCAGAATCCGCAGCAGAAGCAGTGCAATGTCAACCTGACGGCGGCGTTGGCGCGGCGCGAGGCGATGAGGTCGAATTTGCAGCTCGTGAGGAACCGATCGAGCGCCCAGCGTGCTCTCGGAGGGCTCAGATTCATCAGTAAAACTGGGGAAGAACCTCAAGCTCAAGCCGCCGAGCTATGGAGAAAAGTGGAATCTCGCTTCGACGCATTAGCTAAGGAAGGTTTGCTCTCCAGAGAAGATTTCGGCGATTGCATTGGTATCCATAACCAGATTTAATTACTACCTTGTTAGCTTAATAGGAGTATATTCCTGCTTAACTCTCTGTTCCATTTTCTTCTGATTTTCATCTCATTAATCTCCAAATTAAAATTAAAATTAAAAATCAAACACTGTACTGTGTAGGAATGGCGGATTCGAAGGAGTTCGCGGTGGGCGTGTTTGATGCACTGGTGCGGCGGAGGCGGCAGAACACGGCGAGGATAACGAAAGCAGAGCTTCATGACTTTTGGCTGCAGATTTCAGACCAGAGCTTTGACGCCCGTCTCCAGATTTTCTTCGACATGTATGTATATATGCTGGGTCTCTCTCCCTTTATCATTCCTTTCTACTTTATCATTTCCTACTGCATTTATTTTCTCAAAAAAAAATAAAATAAAAAACTCACTACATTCGTTTTAGATGAAGTTACTCCACGTGAAACTTATTTTTTAAAAAAACTGATGAGTTTCGAACCCGTGACCTCTTAATCAATCAGGCTTTGATATCATGTCAATGAACCAACTTAACCAAAACTCAAGCGTGTGGTTATACCTAAATAAGACTAAAACATATTAACTTTCCCAATATAAGACCATATGTTTTTATTTTCCAATACAGGACCTTTCGTCATTATGAATTAGTCATGTTCATCTTTACTGGACATTATTTCTTCTACTAGACATTATTAAGTCATATTTTGTGAATAAAAAAATTTAAGTTCTACATTAGAAAATGACTTATATTTTAATCCTATTTAATGCAAATTTCAGTTATTTATATTCTAACACATATTTATGCTATGGTAATCATTGTTATCATAATTGCATCCAAGTTTCGTACAGATGATAATCATATGTACGACATAGATCATAGTTATTTGAGAAAAGCTTGAGTACACTCATTATAGAATTCATATGTACGACATAGATCATAATTATTTGAGAGAAGCTTGAGTACACTCATTATAGAATTCATTTCGAGTCATCTTATCATTTTCCTATTAATGATGCATGAGCAATTAAGTGATATGGCAGCTAAAAGTACATGCATCATGCCAAGCTTACACCATAGTGATCATTGTTGGTGCTATGCACAATTAAAATTTTTATCATCTCATTATGTAACTCACTTTTAATAATCCGTATTATTACCATCCTCATTAGTCTATTTGGTGTGGTGGCCGGTGACGGCCACCTCACCAAGGGAGAGTGACGGGGAGAGAGGAGACGTAGCCATGTAGCCTTATTGTAGGTGGGGTGGGGATCTTGCCAAATGAGAGAGACACGCGTACGGGAGAAGGAAGAGAGAGAGAGAAGGGGAAAGAAGTGAATCGGGGAAATCGGGATGGTGAGTGCCGATCGGCAGGAAGAGACTCGCTCATCTCAATTTTGATTGTTTCAATTAGATCTTGATTGCATATTATTTTTATAAGAGGAATTTACTTAAATAGCACTAACACATAATGAATTTTCCTAAATAGCAGTACATGTGTTTTTCTTCTCAATGTAGCACTTTTAGTCATTATTCAAGCAAATATTCGCCATCACTGGTCATTATGGACATTATTAATTGCTATTTAGAGAATAAAATAATTTAAATGCTATTTAGGAAAATGACTTAATTTTTAGTGCTATTTAGTGCAAATATTTTTTTATAAACTTCTCATATAAAAACTCTTATTTATTTATTTTTTTTAAAAATAAAAACTTATCTAAATAATGAACAAATATTTATTTTTCTCATATATAGGTCCATGTTAATCTTAAGTCCACCGTACAATTATTTATTTTTTAAAAAATTAAAAACTTATCTAAATATTGAACAAATATTTATTTTTCTCATATATAGGTCCATATTATTCTTAAGTCCACCGTACAATTTGTCGTTTTACAAAATTTTCTAAATTTAGATTTGATGTAAGTGTGATGTATAATTAATGAGGATAATAAAAACTAGAATTGAAAAGATAGATTGAGATAGCTATACCAAAAACACACGTTTTTGTGAAGGAATTTGTGGCGTCTCGTAGGCATTTGTGATTGAAATTAGAAAAGATATGACCGAATAATCTTTAAGACTAGACCAATTACAGACCTGTTTGTCTTTTCCAAAGCATTAGACCAGAATCAGACTAAAACTTAAAATGTATGTGTGTGTATGTGTGTGTGTATATATATATACACACACACATAACACACACACATATTTATATTTTAAAATTTAGTATTTGTATAAATACGTTTATCCTATCAAAATAGAGCATAGTACTTTACATTATCTTTTTTTATGAGTTTACAAATAAGTGATAACCAAATAAAAAATCATATTTATAAAACATACACATTAAAAAAACGATGATTCTCTCTAATTTTCACCTTACATAAGGGGGTATTGGTGTCAATTTTTCCAAATCATAGAGGATACTAGCGCTCATCTCTTATTTTTCATTTATTTATTTTTTGTTTTTTCCCTTTTTTGTTTCTTTTATTAATCACAATATTTTTAATTTCTATTTAAAATTCTTTTATAACTATCTTAAAATTTAAATTTTATTTTTATTTGAAAAAATTAATATATACTGCATGTGTACGCCTTAAATTAATAATTTTTAATTTTTTCTAAAATAGAAAAGAAAAAACTTATTTTGAGAACTTCAGCAAATGAGGAATAAAATGAGAAATAAAATAAAACAAAAAATATAAATGAATATCCTTGTTGACCATCACAATTTTAATGACTTTTTTAGGCATTCTAAAAATTCCTTTTTGTATGAATTGAGCATGTGTGCCCTCATGATTTATAAGAGAGGGTATTGATGCAACGTCATGATATTTTCAAAAGGAAAATGCTTGGTTCACAAACACAATAGTCACAAACTATTACTTGTGAACTTCAATAAAAAAAATTTAAATGGTCTAAAGCAATTTTAAAATGAAAACTTAAACCATAAATAGTAAGTTTGTGAAGTTTGTGAGTATTCTGTTTGTAAATCTAGTATTGCTCTTTTCAAAATTATCAGAGAGCGAATTGATGCAACGTATTGAAGCCACGACAAATTTAGAAATAAATTTTGAAAATAAAAATTATGTTGGTACCAATTTTCCAAAGAATATAAAACACTTATTTGGCCCACCTATCACATACAGGAGGTCGAGCATTATACTATCTCCTTTGCAATCCCCAATTCATAGTGTGTTAACATAATTTGGAAGTGGTGATTCGGGTAGTATTTCATTGTTCATGAGCTCATGTCATGCCCCACTAATATCAGCACATCACATCTGATTTGCACTATTATCTAGACCCTTTGTCTAATTTGAATTTTTACGGTCTTAATTACAATGTTTGATTAATTTTATTTATTTGATTCTATGTACAAAATTTAATAATAATAATTATATATTAAAAAAGTACATCAAAATAAAGGTCTAGAAAACTAGAGATGACATGAATATATTATTTTATCAAATAAGTAATGAAATTATTAAAACAAATTGTATAGATTTTGACCCCATGAATTGTATACGTAAAGATTCAAGCGAGACGGAGGGTGTAATTAATATCCCTATTTTAAACAAGGGCTTTCGTTAATGACATCATGATGTTACTCTGTTTTTGAAGTACTTAAGGTGTTTCGTCTACCCCTAAGTCTATAATCTCTCCCTAAACCACCCATCTCAGCCCACCCCCTCTCCCTCCCACCTAACCACTCTTTGCCGATTCCCCCCTCTCCCCTGCCTCCAGCCCCATGATTGGCTTCATGCATGTAACCAATCAGTGAAAAAAAGATTGTGGTTAAGGAGGGATGAAGAGTGTGATTGAGGATTTAGGAAGGGTCAGGAGATAAATATCATCAATTTTTTGAGTAGAGCATATTAAGAGTTCCAAATAGAGTTGGTGTCATCGGATGACACTGAGGCTCAATGTCATCCGATCCTTATCATTTTAAATATACTTTATTCATCCCAATTTTAGTTCCTCGTTATTGTTTACCATATTTGAATGAAATTATTTTGAATTTTCAACTTATTTGAAATTTTGCGTGAAATTCAAGAAAAAATTATAAGTTGAAGTTTAAAAACTTTCATAAAAAAGATCTATTATCAAAAAGGTAACATGACTGTACTATTTTACCAAATAATAAGTTGGTAACAAAAATTGACAAAATAACTAAATTTGCCCTTGTAAATAGTGAATAGACTCTGTGCTTTGCACAGACATAAACGATGTGACACAGAAACAATATTCTCCGTGTAAGTTCGTTCACAAAAGTAATCTCCATATTCACAATGTACTCCATATATTCCAAAATGAATACTCCTTTCGCCCTAAAATTTTCTTCAATTCTCGTTTTGGTTTACGATGTTTGAGTCATGTTATTTTAAATTTAATTTATTTGATTGTTGGTATAAAATTAAAATTTTAAATTTTTACTCCCTCTGTCTCTAAATAAACTTTCCTTTTTGACTTTTTGAGGATTTAAGAGAGAAATATTGTTGTGTTGACTTTCCAAAATACCCTTGATGTGATGTATAAAAGTAAGATGTGATATGTAGATTATTAGTAAAAAGGTATGATGTGATAGGTAGAGTATGAAAAGTAAGGGGTAAAAAGGGTTTTTAAGGGAAAATAGAAGTTTATTTGGGGATAAAGAAAAAATGAAAGAGAAAGTTTATTTAGGGATGGAGGGGGTATATATTTAAAAACTATATCGAAAGTTCTATAAAACAAGAGGTGACATGACTATATAATTATTTTATGAAACAAATAATGAAAACAGGTAAATGAAGTAATTAAAGTTTCACCATGTCTTTCTATTTAGGAAAAATTACCCAAAATAATCCCAACTTTACTCGGTTTTTCAAAAATAATCCCACCTTTCACTGTGATGCATAATAATCCCAACTTTACTGAAATTTGCCAGTTTTGGGTCGCCGTTAAGTTTCTAACGGAGGGATAACGGAAATGCCCGTTTTAGGCAACAAAATGAAAGTTGGGATTATTTTTGATGAATTTTTGTTTTTTAATTTTTTTTTGAAATTTTTATTTAAATTTTTTGAATTACTTTCAACCTCCATTTCTTTTTCTTTTTTAAAGATTATTCTTACCTT